TTTGCATTTTCCACCCATCGTTTCTTTCTCTTATTATTGTAATTTTTGTGCGAAAGGAAGTTATGAACAACTGCAAGTCAGGAAGTGGAAATCCACACCGGTTGTGACAAGCTGGGGCTAAAAACTATTTCATTATTTATATAGATGTGTCTATCAACATTCTGCTTTTCATCCAAAGAATAAAGGGAAATACCGGCTAGTCCTATGGCTGAGGGTGAATGACAGACCGCATCTGAAGAAAGGAAGGACTAAATATATCAGCTAAGAACACCACTGTTATTTATTGAACTCAAGAGACTTTTTTTTTTTAACCCAAAGACTGTTTGAGCAAGAGATTTAATGGGTCATTAAAAGGGGAAAAAAAAAATTAAAGGCCCTTTTGCTTCTGAAGTGCAGCTAACCTCAAAAATAGGAGCAGTACTTTACGACAGATACTCCAATTAAGGCTTTATGTGATGAATTTTCTATCCTATGGATATCAGTTTTGAAATTACAAACCAAGAAGATCTATAATTGATCTAGCACCAGATAATTTCAATGCCTAATATTCCCCAGGATTGCTGGAGTACCCTCGGAGCTGCGTCGGACTGTATTCAGGGTATGCCATGGGCTGTATTCAGAGTATTAGCTGCAAATCCAAAGTTTTCCGGGAAAGTATTTCAGTGATTGAAGTCAAAGCCTCCATCGATCCCATTCCCACCAGCATCGACGAGTCCTCCAGCGTGGTCCTGCGCTACCGGACCCCTCACTTCCGAGCCTCTGCGCAAGTGTTGGTGCCCCCTATTCCCAAGAAGGAGACCTGGATCGTGGGCTGGATCCAGGCTTGCAGCCACATGGAATTTTACAATCACTACGGGGAACAGGGCATGTAAGTATTTCCAAGAACGCGGGTGAGCGGGTGCATTTGCCGAGCGGGAAGAAAGAGCAGGAGGACCATGGTTTGGCTGGGAAATACTGGGTTAAACCAAGAATTATAATCCAGTTGGTTTGATTTTCAAACCCAGCTCTTCTGAAACTTAACAGGACTTTCTCATATGTCTAAAATACAGGAGAGCTTGTCCCTGCCCTTTTAAAAGGGTCAGTATTTTTCTCTTCTAATGGGAACGTGCCCAAGCCCTAACCAAACTCCGCTTGTTCCGTTAGGAACCCCAAAGCAACACCATATTTCACAACAGCTTTTGAGCAGCGCTGGGGATCCTGAAATCCCAGGCCAGCTCTGCCACGACAGGCACCCCTGTTTCCATAAACATTTTACAAGAGGGGTTCCCCTGACCACCAGCTCCTCTTGTCTCCATCCCACCCCATCCCTTACCAGGTAAAACTGCGCCATTGATGAGCCCCAGGGACGCACAAGGGCTGACACTTGTGGCACGGTGTTGTCCCCAGGGTGCTGTCCTGCTGCTGCAGTTGGCTGTGGCTGGGGGATTTGTAGCCCACCAGCTCTGGGAGCACATTGTAACGTCAGAGGAGGAATCCCTGCTTGCTTTGCCCAGGGGAGCAGACAGCCAACAGGGAAAGAACAAGATGGATTTAACCCACTGATAATTAAACCCTTTGTATCACCTTGGAGCAGGGTGAAAATTTCCCATTACTCTCCTTTTGGGTAATGTCAGAGTGGGAATATATAAGTATATATGAAAGGGAGGGGGAAATCTAGGGGCTCTTTGCACACCAAAAAACCCCCCTGTTACTGGTTAGACAGTCATAGTGAGACAGGAATGAGTCAAATTAAAATGTCACCTCCCTGCTGTGAAGAGTCATCTCTCCCCAGTACCCCCCACCGGTTTGTTCACCAAAGGGTGTTGCAGGCTTTGGCTGGTCGTTCAATCAGCAGCAGCACCTGATCTCCAAACACCTGCACAGAACAGCAGCGCTGCGGCTCATGGTGCTGGGCAGCACCAGGGGCAGCAGAAATCTGGCTGTCCAGCCACAGTGACAAAACCTGACCACAGGGCCTGGTGCTGGCAGATGGTTTGGTGGCTGGAGGTGCTGATGCTGCCCAGTCCCTGGGGACAAGGGAGAAAGGACAGGAAGGTCAAGTCTAAGCAACCCTCCTTCCTGCTCATCCCAAGTGCCCTGTGGCAGGAGGATGCTGGCTCTCAGCTGGCATTCTGGGTGGCTTAAAAAAAAATAAAGGGTGGATGAGGAGGGCTGAAGAAGGACGGGGACATGGAGTGGGGCTGGAGAGCAGGACAAACTCTGACTTGATACAGCGCTTTCCTGAAGGCCTGAACATCTGCACGCACAGCCTGGCCCTTCCTCCCTCCCTCCCTCCTGCCTGTAAGCCCAGATAAGGACACGGGTTCAGCATCTCAGACGTAAAGCGACTATGCGTTGTAAGATGTGGAGCAGAGGGAAGGGCACGCCACATGCAACAGACTGTCCCCACTTCTGTCCCCATGTCCTCTCTCTGCTCAAGCAGAAAGTGCCTTGAGAAGCAAACCCCAGCACCTGGCAAACAGTGAGATGCAGACCAGCTTATCTTGATTTTAAAAGTACTTACAACAGCCCCGAAATCTGTAGGCTTTTTGGCTCCAACACCATCTTTAGCAAGGACAATTTGTTGCTCAGATGTTCCCGATTCCAGGCCTTTGGGATTTGCATGTGTAATTCTCAGGCTCATTTAGAAATCCTGTCTTTAGCGACCAGCTGCAAAGGAAAACAGAAAAGTCCACTGCATATAAATACAGCTCACATCCACCGAAATAAAGAGGACTGGGCAGAGAACTGTTCTGCTGGTGCTGCTGTGGGCTGCAAACCTCGACAGGTCCTTTCATTTCTCTGCACCTGAGTTTCCCTGTGTTTAAGATGAGGATTTGGTACAGTCTTCCCTTACTGGAATGCTTTGAGACACACACAAAAAAAAACCAAACCAAAACTTGTATCTACAAGCTAAGTGCTGGAAACAGGTAGTCAGAATTAAACACTGCAGCTATGTAGGAGAGCTATTAGCAAGAAAATAACGGAAATAAAGATTTTTTCCTAGGAGGTTCATTCACATTTAACTGATATTAAAAAAAAACCCAAAGTTATCCAAACATAAGTAGGAATTGGTCTGCTCCTCTGCTCTCTTTCTATAGATCTGTTGCCATCTGAAAGCTGTAAATAAAGGCGTTTGGGAGGAAAGGCCTCTTTTAATGCCATTGAAACATGCTCTTGGAAGACCTTTATATAGAGAGAGGTTCGACACAAACCTATCCGAAAGGATGCGCCAAGCCTTTAGCTGGTGTAACTCAACATAATCCCACTGACCTCCCCAGAGCTGCATTGATTTATGCCAACAGAGTATTTGTCCCAACTTTCCATGATGAAGAGGCTACTGCAACATACTTTTTTTTTTTTTTTTTTGTAATCACTGTGGTGACAGGCAAACAGAAAACTGCAAATAATAAAAAAAATCAGTCAGTTAACTGGAGCATCAATACTTACAATAGGTTTTGGATTAATTTTTCACTTTTATGCTCCAAAGTTGTTAGCTGTGTATAAGCTGGCCATTAGGTTGAGGATAGAAACAGCTGAGAAATACTGGAGCAGATGGAGCTGTGCATAACACTCCTAAAGGGATGTTAGCTGCAGAGGGGATAATGTAGACACACGCATTTAAAGTGGCACTGACAATTTTGGGGCTACATGCAGCTTTTTTAAATGTAAAGGCACATTATTAAAGCTCAGATAACACATAAATGCTGGCATTTTTTTACATGCAAGTGAGGAGATGCTGCTGGGAATGTGAAAATTCCCAGCATGAGGATGTGGACGTGCTTTCTGATCCCTGCTCCGTACAGAACTGGGGCAAACTCCTGCTGGGCTCCGTGGCTGGTGTTTCTGCTGCCCCTGAGCAGGGTTTTACCCTGTACCCTTAGAGAAGGATGCTGCTGTGCAGTGGGAGCCTTCAGGATCAGGCTGCAGAGCTCTGAGCTGTGCAGGACACGCTGGACCAGGTCCCCCCTGGGATCTCATGGGGTGGGTGCCGGTTTCTGCACCCGGTTGTGCAGCACCTGGTGGGACCCGTGTCAGCGACTGAGCGATGCTGGAATGGCATTATCCAGCCTTGTTTCTTCATCTCCATGGAGATGTGCAAGAAGTGGTGCGGATGGAGATATGCAAAACAGAGAGATAAATAAATTTGGATTTGAATCTGATCAGCCAAGAATCTGGAGAAGTTTCAGGTAGATATTTCTCCCCAGGAGGACCTGATGGGGCAGCTGGGCAGCATGACATCATCACTTTACATTACCCGGCATCTCTCTCTTGCTAGATTAAATCTTCCGTGCCCTGCAGCAGAGACACAATGAACTCGAGAAATCGACTTGTCAAGAGAATAAACCCTCAATCCTCGGGAGGGAATGCACAATCAAAAACAGATTCACCAAAGAAAAAAAGGTCAGCTCAGCATGGGAATTTACGGAGATACCCCTCCAGGGGTTCGGGGAAAAGGCTTCGCTGTCCTTACGTGGCCCCAGCCCTCACCTATATGCTGTTAAGCATGCGCCTTAGCCTGGTCTGCTTGAGCCTGCTCAGCTAATCCTGCAGAAATTTGTCCTTTTTCCTTAATGCCAGTTTTCTGCTGGTTTCACTCCCTGCACCGGTGTGCAGCAACCATCACTGCCGGTTCAAGAGACGAGGCAGGAACATGCAGCTGGAGGATGGGGGGAAGAGGGACCACAGCAGCGTGGCTCCGACAGCTGGGAACATCATCTTAAATTTCCTTCCTGTTCTTTGCTATAACCCTGGATTGAATTGCTTGATGTGCCGGAGTAGGTGAGAGAGACACTGTAAAGGACAATTTAAAATTAAGCAGCTGTGAAGATCAGGTTTTCTTTCTTTCAGCCAGTCACCAGTGGAGGGAAGCAGGTAGGAGCAGGGATGTGAAATACCCGAGACAGCTTTTCATTGCGCCCACACATCGCACTGGTACCTGCATTGAGCACAGTCTCTGTCTGAGTGGGGCTTCTCTTATCTAGGGAGCTGGTGGAAAGGAAGGGTGTGGAAAAGCTCAAGGTTATGCAAATCCAGCTGGCCTGTGAGTAATTAAGAGCTGGCTTTAAGGAGCTGGGGCTGAGGATGCAATAGTCTGATGCCTCCCCAACACCTGTCTGAGAAGGTTAACTGAACATACCTGTGTCACTGTGGGATGCTGCTGTCCTGGGATCTACTGTCTCTGCACAGGGGTTGCTTCTGTTTGTGCCGTGGAGCAGCCGTCTGGAGGGCTTGGGACAAGCTGAGGCTTCACTTTGTGTGACAGAATAGGAAGAAACCTATCTGAATGAGAACTAGGAGGCTAAAACCTATATAAAGCTGCTTGGCTGTCAGCAGCAGGGCTGCAGTTGTGCCACAAGAAATAGCTCAAAGTTCCTTCTCCTGGTAGCAAGAAGACATTTGTTAAGAGGTTTGTTGGCAGCTCGAGTCTCTGGTGATGCCCATACTGACTCTGAAGGTTTCAGATGTGGCAGAATCAAACCTGTCAGTATTACAAGCCAGAATCTACTGATTTTGGAGCTGATCAGCTATAGTGAATCCATGAACCAGATAGGTTGGTTTCTTTTCATGCCTCTTCCCTGCTACTGTCAGCAAAGTGTTTACTGGGCACTTTCTGGTCTTTCCTTGGCTTGACACGACCGTATAAAGATGCTGATGTAGCCAAAGATCATTCCACAGTGTTCTTTCCAAAACCATCCAAAAGGGCAGTTGTTGGAATATTATTTAACACGGACATAACTACGTAAGCAAAGGCTACTCACCTGGCTGGCACACGGGCTTTGCTGGAACAGCAGGCGAGGGGCAACCACCACCACCACCAGCACCAACCGTTGTGCAGCCTCTGCTTTTTGCTCCAGTCACAGGATCATCACAAGGCCTCATTTTTTTTTCCCTTTACTAAGCTGCACAGCTAAAGCGTGATGGTTTTGAAACCCCAGGGTTAACCGCACTCGCTAGAATTAGGCACAAAGAAACAGAGGACAGTTTCTTCTTCCCTGTTCCTGCCCACGCCTTGTCTGAAGCAGGGTGCAGCTCTGAGCCACCCCGAGCACAGCCACGCTGCTCACGAACACGCTCAGCTTCGTGGTGAGGTTTCTCAGGCTCTGCAGACAGCATCCTGCCTTCAGCCACCAGCCCGGGCCCTGACACAACTCCACTTTTTTGCTCTCGTTTGAACCCTGGGCAAATCCCAAGAAGTTCCTGCAATTCTGTACTGGTCTGGGGGTCAGATATGCTTACTGGGAATGAAGATGGGGACAAGCAGATCTTAGTTGACCTGTAGTTTCTGAGCATCCTCTACCTGATTCTCCTGCCATTTGCCCACCAGCCTCTGATCCAGGAAGGCTGGAGTAGTCAGGGAGTTAACCAGCCTCTTGTAGCATCTCAGGTCCTGGTTTGGCACCTCCACATGCGCAGAGATGCTGTGGCTGCACCGAAGCACCACGCCTATCACAGAGTGAACCTTGAGGAAATTGTCACATCTCATCCCCAGGTGACAACCAAGCTGAGTACCAGCCACTGTCTGAGTGGGAAGTAATCCCAAAGCATCTGCTGCAAGGGAGAGGAGGAGCCCCCAGATGGTGTTTCAGAGGTGGGCTGTGCAATGGGGAGGATGCGGGGGGCTGCAGAGCATGGACCTCTGCTCATCCACGCACCGAGGGCCGAGTTCATCCAACACACCCGGAGCTTTTCCCTTCTCGGCTCTCCCTGGAGCCAAAGTGACTCTGATTTAGAGAGCAGAGCGTATAAACATCTCCCCAGTGGCTGGAGGTCCTGGCAGGGATGCTCCGGGATCTCCTTTTGGCTGCCTTGGCTGAACATTTTCTCCCAGGGAAAGGACTCCCTCTGTCTGCTGGCCATCAGCTCTGGGAGAGGATTGCTGCAGCCGCCGTGTCGTAGCTGACAGCAGCCCCCCTAAATCTGTGCGGAGAGACGTCATCGTGCTTCCATCACGCCCGGCTGCTGCTGCTGACCCCCAGTCCTGCTGCTCGGAGCATCCCTGCACCCCTGGGAACATCTCACATCCCGCTCTTAACCCCCTGAGGTCCTGCCACACCATCCAACCTGCAAACCAGCCGCCTGCTGCACGGTGCAGCCCTTCACCCAACCTGCCATGGCACAGGAGAGAGTTATTTTTTTTTTTTCCTAGGACCTTTGCTCACATGGAAAAAGATAAATGAGATCTTTATATCCCAGCTAACTGCGGAACCATCCAGTGATTACAAACATGGAGGCACTTTATGGTCATTAACTAATTAACAATCAGAGCAGCCTTGTGAGACCATCACTTTAGTCCTGGCCAGCAGAGAGGAGGAACCCATGCGCCCAACGTGTCCCCCCTCAACCTGCCTGTGCCCGGCCACAGCCCCCGCTCCAGCCAAGGGGCTATTTTAAGCCACAGCACTGGACTTAGGAAAGCCTCAGACAGTTCCTCTGACAAGCCCCAGCATGTCCCCTATGTCTCTCTCCCAAGATAAACCATGTCCCACAGCACGATCCACAGCGGGGAGGGTGCACAGCACCACCACAGCGGGGTCCAGTGCAAATGCCATACTGGGAGCTACTGGGAGCGAGCTGCTGCCGCTGCCACACAGCCCCTTCTGCCAACTCAACAGTGGGGACATCATCTCTGGTTGGGGCAGGTGACAATTCATAAGCAAGGTAAATTAGAGCCACCTCTACCAGCTTGGTTTTTAAAAGAATGTCCTTAAAATGCCTGGCACAGGGTCTGTGGTTGTGCCACCTTAGTACCTTCACTCTGCAGATATCCAACCCTTTTCCTGAGACATTTACAGTAGTTTGCTTCCATCAGCAAATCTAATCTTAAAAATTAAATTGGAAGTTAATTAAAAAAAAAATATTCCAGTTGTGCATCGGCGTTTTGAGGTGACAGAGGACCATTTTCACTAACTTTCTTGCTCGAAAGACTGACCTTTCCATCAGCCTCACAAGCACTGCGCCCAGACGACCGGCTCAGGCAGTTTTCCAAGCTGGCTGACCTCGGACTCTCTGATTACTGTAACACCATCCCCAGCCCAGAGCCTGGTGTGCAGCCTTTGAACTGGGTCCTTCAGGGACTGGAGAAGGATGGGTTACACTTCCAGCGCCAGACTGGGGTGGGGAGGGACAGTGGCTTATCCAGAGAGAAAACACGTGTTTGCAGGTAGGGACTGAAAAGAAAGAACAGACTGGGGTGATGGGAAGCTTTATGGTCCAGTTGAGTCCTTGATCTTAGTTCCACCACTGAGGTCAGCTCTCCTGTGGCCTCACCCCCAGGGCCAGCTCTGAGCTTGCCCCTTCTTCTACCAACACAGGAGATTTTGTCCTATTGAGAGAAAGAAACTCAGCCCTGAGCCCTGCTCTCACTGGCACAAGAGCTGAGATCCTGAACACAGCGCTGGAGCAAGTCCTTGTGTTCAGCCATGTTTCCCTGAGCACCAACCCTTTGGAGCCTTACTTAAACACCAACATATTTAGAACACCTCCAAGTAGCCACCGGTCCCTGCAAGGAAAGCCCTGGCCCTGCAGGGTGACGGTTCCTCAGTGGGGTTTAACAGCAGGACAGACTTTCATGATCAGTCCTGGAAATTTGCAGACACAGTTTTAATGGCAGGGATGAGGTCTTTTGCCCTGAGCACCAACCCTTTGGAGCCTTACTTAAACACCAACATATTTAGAACACCTCCAAGTAGCCACCGGTCCCTGCAAGGAAAGCCCTGGCCCTGCAGGGTGACGGTTCCTCAGTGGGGTTTAACAGCAGGACAGACTTTCATGATCAGTCCTGGAAATTTGCAGACACAGTTTTAATGGCAGGGATGAGGTCTTTTGGCAGGATCATAGAATCATAAAGGTTGGAAAAGACATTTAAGATCATCAAGTCCAACTGTCAACACAACACCACCATGCCCACTAAACCATGTCCTGAAGGGCCATGGCTACACATTTTTTGAACGCCTCCAGGGATGGTGACTCCACCACTGCCCTGGGCAGCCTGTTCCAATGTCTGACCACTCTTTCAGTAAAGAAATTTTTCTTAATATCAATCTGAATCTTCCCTGGTGCAACTTGAGGCCATTTCCTTTTGTCCTATCACTACTTACTTCAGAGAAGATATCAACACCCACCTCACTACAATCTCCTTTCAGATAGAGAGCAATAAGGTCTCCCCTCAGCCTCCTCCAGACCAAGGATGGTGTGAAAGGCACAAATACCAGTTAAAGCTAAAAGAGGAATGTGTTCACAACTCCTTCCTCTCTTTCCTTGAAGTGCACCATATTTCTAACCTGATTAATTAATGCATTATCCATAATTTGTTGTTGATGGCAGGTCAAGTTGGGAGCTTCCAGACCTACTGGATGGTAAAATCCAGGCCATCAGTGACTCAGATGGAGTGAACTATCCCTGGTATGGAAACACAACAGAAACCTGCACCATCGTGGGTCCCACAAAGAAGGAGTCCAAGTTCAGCATCAGCATGAACGACAACTTTTACCCGAGCGTGACGTGGGCAGTGCCCGTCAGCGAGAGCAACGTGGCCAAACTCACAAGCATTCACCGGGATCAAAGCTTCACCACCTGGCTGGTTGCAACCAACACAGCTACCAACGAAATGGTGACCTTGCAGACTATCAAATGGCGCATGAGGCTGGGCATCGAGGTGAATCCCAGCAGACCCCTGGGGCAGCGTGCCAAGCTGCAGGAGCCCTCTGCTCAAGAGCAGCCCCAGGTCCTTAGCAAGAATGAGCCAATACCACCCAGTGCCCTTGTCAAACCCAATGCCAATGATGCTCAGGTACTCATGTGGAGGCCAAAGGATGGACCACCGCTTGTGGTGATACCTTCAAAACACCGATAATATAAACCTGGCGTCCCGGCACCAAAAGGGAGAGAAAAAAAACCCAAACAAACAACAAAACACAACAGAGCAAAACAATCACTTAGGTATTAGAATACACACTTATAATCTGAGCAAAATCAAAATGCACTTTTTATTCATTCTACAAATGCAACCATTCTACCTTCTCCCATTGGGACGGATTTCACTGTGCTAAAGCTAAAGAGGAGACCTTTGACTGGGGTCTGTCTCACCACTGGATTCCTAAGGGAAGAAATTAACACTGATCTCTACCCCTATAGCTTTGTTTTTTTTCTTCCCTACTTTAGTTACTGTTTGAACTTCAGTCTCATTAGCTTGTCCAGACTGCCCAGAAGAATAGAAATATTTTATTTGGGATTTTAAGAGTTTTTTGGTTTTGTTTTTGTTTTTTTTTCGGTGAGAATGAAACAAGTTCCTGGAGCAAAAAGTTGACCATTTAAGATAAGGATTTTTATTTTTTTTTAAGCTGTAAGGTTCTGAGTTGCAAATCCAAGTCATGCGGCCTTATGTAGACTTTGCTTTGCATTGCCAAACTTTTGCCTTAAAGCTGTGTTTGAAAAAACAAAACAAAACACCAAAACCAACACCAAAACCACCATCAGGCAGAATGTCCTTTCTACAGAATTTTTTGGGAGAAAGTTTTGGAACAAGGAGTAGATTGTCTCTGTCACGGGCTGATGGATGAAAAGGCCATGAAATTGGAAGAAGCATCATAAAAAGAAAATCTTCCTGGTTTTAAACCCTGGAATCAGGAAGCATGGAAATAATCTCAGTTTTAAAGCAATGCAAATAACAAACCTGCTGTAGGATGTCTCTTGAGTGGGAGCTGCTAGGCCATCTCCCTGCTTCGTGGAAGGGGTAGCAAGCAAGCTCAGCCTCCTGTTAGCATTATAATATGGGATAATCTCAAAGATGGAATTGTAGCCCTGGGAGTCAACATAAATCAAGAGGGGGGGATGTTCAACTAGGTTTGTCTTTAGGACATGCAGATGGTTGCCCAGCTAGCCCATGGTCTCACCTTCTCACGGTGTAAGAGCCAATGGCTCGTGCATCGGCTGTTGTTGGGTGAAGCTCTGTTACCCCATTTTCCCTGTGAAATCCAAACGATAGAGCTGTAAAAAGAGCAGGATATAAAAATGATCCTTCTGAAGTCATTGGAGATGCATGGGTGTAAGTGAGGGCAGATCTTATCTACTGAGTCTACCCAGCAATATCCATAATTCAGGAACAGCACCCATTCCTAGCAAACACTAGAAGCAAAACTATGAAAAACTCTTCTTCCCATGATAACAAATCATGTTTGGGTTAGTAGATAATTTTCTTCCATACAACCTCATGATCTACACGACTGTCAGGAATGGGGTGCAAACAGGACCATGGGTGATTCTGTACCTGTCTGGTTACGGCACAAACATCTATGTAGCAAAGGGTGGCACATGAGAAGGGGGAAGCAGGGCAACACCTGAGTCTTGGGTGTAGATCCTCCAGTAAGGAAGGTGCACTTGGAGCAGGAGGTGAAACTTGCAGGTTTTAATAAGGACCTTGTCCAGATGGCTTCAGAGATAACCAGATGCTCTTCTGCAGAGGAAGGCAGCACGGAGAAGCTGTTTGAAGGGGAGGGGACACAGTTTACAGGCAGAGGAAATTCTGCAGTGGAGGTGGCATCTGGAGGACAGGGCACAGGATGGGGAGCGGAGGATCTGCTCTCTTGCTCCAGCACATGGCCTGAGGCAGATCACTTCCTCTTCCCTCTGCAGCTCCTTCCCCTTGATAACATTTCTTCCTCTTATTAACAATTTGCCTCAAGAGCTGGGACTGAAGAGAGCTCAGCGTGCCAAATTCAAGCCTGGCCCAGCTGAGTTGGTCTGAACAGGTCTCACAACCACAGACACGCTGCTCAAAAGGCTCTCCCCTCAGGGAGACACTGATTAGCTGCTATTGCCATCTTCATCTTCCACACAGGACATTACCAGCAAGAAATTCTCCTTCCTTATTCTCCAAAGCCACACCGTCTACTTTGGCAACAGATTGAACATCACCACCTGCCTGGGGAAAGCACTCCCAGAACGTACACCTCCTCCCGTGACAGTCTCAACCAGCAAATGAAGATCCTGGGTCCCTGCAACTGCACTCTGTCTCCAGGGAGCCTGTCCTCCTCCCTGCATCGCTTTTCAGAGATGCTCAGCCACGGAGCCGCTCTCTCCAACCCACAGATCTTTGAGGTAGGAAGTCCAGCATTACAAGCAGCTTGCAAACAAATGGACTGGAACAAACCCAAACCCACAAGCCAAAGGTTGCCTGAATCTAGGCTTTGGGACTCTAAAGGATGAAGCTAGGGAGACTTTGACTTGCAGAGTCACTCTCTGTATTAAACTCCATTTTCTCACACGGATTCAAATCCTAACTAGAGCTCTGCTGGCAAAGCCCTTTGGGACTTGTCTGTATTTTCTCTTCGGCAATACATGCAGAAGAGGACAAAACGTGAGCTGCAGGTGAAGAGCTGAGAACACTTGCATGCATCTCAGCTACTGCTTAGATGCTCTCCTGGGCAGCCCGGTGGGTGGGAGCGGAAGGGGTATTTATGGCTGGTATTCACTTTGTCTCCAGGTGCTGAGTCCTTACAGTTCTCACTGATGTCAGCGTGGGTCACAGAAATCAGATCCAGTTGTCTTAATTAGCTGCACGAAGGAATTCCAAGGAAAGATTTCTTCTCAGTCACCAAAAAAACTACATTCAGGGAACACCTACGTCCTTTTCCACTTAGCTTTGTGTTGGACTTCAGTCTCCCAGTCCGTTAAGTAAATTAGTTCCTCCTGCTCCCTCTACCTGGTGGACTGGATGCATCCATGCAATTTGATAGTAACCTCTTGGCTAAATCGTCCTGTTTCACTGAACAGACACAGCTAAGCAGTAAATAGAAAATTCAAATTTCACGTTGGGGTCAGCTTTGCATGGACCTTTCCCTTCCCAAAGAATGCCTTTATCCCATGCCTAGGTCAAAACGTGCCCTCCCTCCTCCATTTACATCACCAGACATGGCATCGAAAATGATGCTGCCTCTCTGGAGATTTCACGTGTTGTGATTAAAAGAGATGTTTTTCCAATGCTGCTTCATTATAAAACTGATGGGGACAGATTGAATATAAAAGGAAAGGTGACTGGAAGAACCAGGTGCTGTAGACATCACTATTGATAGGGCTGGTTAATGGTTAGAACGGGGATTGACAGGGTCCCAGTGGGGACTTAGATGTCTGGGGACCTGGGGCATCCTGCACTGAGTGAGGTGGTAAATCAGCAGAGGTAAAGAAAGCTCCTTCTCTGGCAGCTTTTTGCAGAACCAGGAATGCACAAAGGATAAAAGATCCGCTGGGAAGGTGATGGGGCACCAACATGGGATACTGAGCTTGTTGCTGCCTCACCTCTCCCATCAATGCTCAGCTCCTTACGGCCCCAAATCACCACTGGAGCTGAGTGTAGCCTGACCATCCCTGTCAAAATCCCGGAGTGGTCCAGCATGGGAAGCACAGGGTGAGCCCTGGCCAAGCCCCTCACCTGTCCCCTCTCCCCCATCCAGCTGTGGGGCAGGGGCCGCCCAGCACGGCCAACACGCCGGCAGCAGCACAGCCATTTGCTTCTCCTTTCCTACCCTTGACACAGAGACAAGCACGGCGAGAGAGGGGCAGCCCCTGGGAAAGTCAATAAAGACATTAAGCAGCGCTGAGGAGGGGTAGAGCTGCTGAGCCTGGGTCCGGCAGGGGGGGGTCCGGCGAGGCTGCCCGAGCCCCGGCATGGCCGTGCCCCCCTGCCCTGGCTCCTGGCGCAGCAATAAGAATCATTCTTGGTCTTGTAGAGAAACTGTGAAAAAAAAAATAAAAAAATCAAGATGTACCAAGTCTGGACATTTACAGAGATGTAAAAAACCCAAAACTCTGCTTTTATAACAGAGAAATAAAGTGAAGTTTTCAAACGCGTCTGCCTGGAGTCCTTTGGGCAGTGGCTGTTTTTAAACAAACGCCTCCACTACCTCTGCACTCACCTTTCAAGGCAGTGATAAACCCCCTATTTACCGTGAGCAACTTTTCTCCCCATTTCAGCTCTTATGTTGCATCAGATGGAGCGCGGAGGTTTCTGGTTAAAAATACCAGCCGACATCCTGCATCTTTCATGAGCAGGCTGCTGTGCAGCTCCTGGCGGCAGGACAGAGCCGAGCACAGGCAGCTGCTGAACTTCTGCACGGTTCTGTTTCCTGATGCTCTTTGCTTATTTAGCAAAAGCCTGGTCAGATGTTGGCTGTAAACACCACATCTGGAGAGGGGCATCGGTGGTCCCTGGGTGGCAGAGAGCAGCTCTGCCCTTTCAGACCTGGGCAAACGAGAGGTTAAAAGCTGTTAAAAACGATGAGCTGGGTTTCAGTACCACACTGCAGTCATTTCGCTATCCAGCCCCTACAAGATTTTTCAGATTTAGGTTCTGCTTGCTTTTCAGTAAAGGAAACTGTCAAAATTATTTTCAGAGAGCAGGGGAGTGCTTGGCCAAGCAGCCAGCACAGTTCCTGTGCTAACCAGTTAACCCACAGTAACCAGATAACCCAGAGGGCCCAACCCAGGCACCTTCCAGGTCTGAGCTCCAGCTCCTCCTGCCATGAGCTGATCCGGCTGTGGGCTCCCTTCCCACCAGCTGTGCCCCAACGCAAACACAGGTGGGTCTTTTTTAAAAAATTATTCTTTCAGTAGTTTTGCTGCTTTGCTGCTCTCTGATCCAGCCTGCAAAGAAGCATCAAAAAACAATTCATCTCAAAAAGCAGCAGAGGAAAGGTTTTCTCTGTCTGCTGCAAGATGCTGCTGCTGCTGCATTGGCTCCCACCCAGCACCCCCAGGTTGGGCTGGGGGAACCACACCACACTCAGGGCTTTCCCAGCACATGTCCTCATCCTTCCTGGGGCTTCCCCCAACAAGAGGTTCCTCGCACCCCTGTCTCCC